GACCTGTAAGCATTTAGTATCATCATTAAGATACTTAGAGAGCTCTAATAGTTTCCTGCTATCAACAAATATGAATGAAACTCAATTGAGTGCTGCTCTTAAAACTAGGGCAGTCTCAACTCTGTTCTTACCGATTCTAAGAGGCAGCATTCACCCAGCTAATCAAATACAGGTACAGCCCTGCACAGCTCCAGGCAAGTCACAGAGGGAGGTGTGGACATGGAGAGAAAGAATAGGGCTGTGCATGGTGACTTAGGGAAAAGGGATTGGGAAATAGGAAAAGGAATAGGGAAAAGGGAAGAAGAGGCTTTGTTGGTTACATGGATTGTGGAACAACTTACGGTTTTTATTGTGTTAGCTTAAATTATTTAAAATAACAAACCTTAAGATACTCTTTGTCAAGGTAATTTGTACATCTTTCACAAAACTCATGCACTTTTCCCTTTTCAGCCCTTCAGGTCAATCTTCCTGGTTTTCCACCCACCGTTTTGCCATAATGATGATGCTGTACCTCCTGCTGCTAATGGTGATTGGGGCCAGCAACTCGCCAGCCTTCCTCTACTACTGGCACAGAATGTTTGACTCAGAGGGATGAGTTGCCTAAGAAGATAAACTGTTATTTCACTATGTGCCTTAATAATAACAAATCCACAATGCACTGCATCTCTTCCAGAGCTCTGGAAATAAAGGTGCCTGGAGCTTTCCAGTTCCGTCTCCGCTATGTTATCCTCATGGCATCTTTCCACTTACTGTTTCTGTATTCCTGTGATTCATGAGGATACTCGGCACAGCTGAAAAGGATCACGATGGTGCAGCTTAGCATGAACCAATTGTTGAGGGGCCATGGGAAAAAAAGTTATGTAAAATTAATGACAGCTAAGTGTGGAAACGCTCTGGTGTAACTATTCTCTGTCAAACTGAGGTAGGAGTATTTGCACAAGTTGGAAAGGAGGATTTTTCTGTATGTCAGTGTGTCTTTACCAGTTTGTTTTCAGAAACTGTGTTTAGTGATGTTTGGCACGTCTCAGCGCAGATGGGATCACGTTTAAAACCAACTTTGTTTCTGACCCGGAATTTTTATATTTGAGCATAATGATTGTAATAAAAGAACATGAAATAAAACAGCAACCAAAATGGAAAAAATTACGTGGCTCCTACTAAGGTTTCTTTCTCCCCATAAAGTGTGTACGAGGTTTGTGCTCTCAGCCGTGACCTGTCTTGTCCTTTGGTTAGTGCATAGATCAGACTCAGGCACCTCAGCATCAGTACTGGAGATGCGTTGTCCTATTAAACTGCCTTCCACTTCTGTTTTCTGCAGCAAAAAGGTAGAAGGTGAAAGGTTGCACTTATGCTGCCACCTGGCAGGCTTTTTAGGGTTGCGGCTGCTGGATCTGGTCCAACATTTTTAGTTGCATTGAATTGTTTTCAGCCTCACTTTGTGAACAAATAGACCAACAACAGTAGCATACCAACAATTTCCTGAAACGGTTTTCTCAGGAATGGAGTAAAATAGCAGCAGAAGCGGTAGGGTTTATTTTATGTCTGAACATTTGTGGTGTAATTAACTTCATGTAGACTTCACTCAGGCCTTCATGTGACAACTTATTCATAATACTATGTAAGGTAGATTGTCCACTTCCATTTTTCACAGAGAAGTGGCATTTTTGGTGGCTGAAATTATGGCAGTTGCACTGTTTGCAGAGTGCTTTGGCTTAATGCTGGCACATCCAACCTCACTACATCTCAGATTCATCTTTTCTAACCTCGAAGAAAGGCATTCTTACTGCTTGTTTGGAAACACACGCATAGGTATGTGCTAGTTAGTTAATGGAAGGAAACATCATACACCTTCTGCCCAGTTCCTTCATATTTACTTGTTACTATTCTGTCCTTCAGATTTTGTTACAAAGCAGCCCACAACTGACAGAACAAGGAGCAAAGGACTATCGCCTGATCAGTGACTGGGCATGGGATAAGCCTGATAAAAGCCCAGGGATTCTAGGTGAAGAAAAGCTGGCAACATGCTGCTGTTCGAGCCCTGGCATTTAGCAGCAGACTTGATAAATGCAGGCTTTCATTGCACAGTGAACCCTAACCAAAATAAAAAAATCTCATCACATATTCCTAGCAAATGAGCCTATGATTACCGCCTCGCTCATTAAATATTTCAAAGAAAATCTCTTCTTTCTCTCATATTCTGTTACCTAATTGCCAGAAATAATGACGAGGTAATCAGGTTTTCTGACTAAAGTTAGAGGACAAGTTCATTTACAGCAGCCCCTCTTCTTGGTGGATGGAGCTAGAAGCATTTATTCCAGTTAATTTTGCTGCCAGAACAAATTTATTTATTCACCATACAGCTTGCAAAACAAGAACATTATAATCCAATTCCCCATTGCCTTTTACAGTCCATTAATAATGCTCACTGTTACAGCACGTTGCATTTCCTCAGCCCAAGAAACGCACGCGCTAATTATAGTGCTGATTTGCAATTAAAATGTACGCAAACTAACAATTTATTGCAAAGCAGATTCAGCCACTTTCCAGCAGCTCGCTCCGATGTTTCAGTGCAGAAACTTGGGATCTGAAGCACGCACGGTGTGTTTCTGGAGGTTTTTGCCCATTTCTGGCCCCCCTCAGCATGTTATATTTAAATGTGCCGTGCGTGTAGGGGTTTAAGGTAGGTAGCAGGGCAGGCAGAAAACCTAGAGGTGTTTGGCAGTGCCTAAAAGGTTTGGTGTTGTTAGGGGGCTCGGTGTTTGCCTGGAAATGAGACGTCTTTTGGAACAGATGGGATATCCTGGGCTCTCTGGAAAAGGAGGAGATTTAGCAGCAATTGCTTGATGGATGGCTGTTTCACTAAGTGAGCCTGGGAGCCCCCCAGTCAGACAAAAGGAACAGATGGGGAGAAACGTGGCAGGGTTTGGGGGGCTTCCTTGCATAGGAAAGTTTCTGAAGGATAAGCAAAAGGAATTGCTGTGTGATGGCCACTCAGCACTATCTTCTAACATCCGGCTGGGCTTTTTTTTTTGGCTTTTAACCGGAGAGCTGAACTCACTTCCAAAGTGGGGGAGAACGGGTCCGTGTCGTGAGCTAGCCCCGAGCTGATCTGCATCGGGGGCTCCAGGCTGTATCCTCACGGAGAGGAGCACCGGGGAACTTTGCGCGTGAGCCAGCACTGCAATTAAAGCAGCAGGCAAAGGTAGATTGTCTTTTTCCACTCAAATTTGGTCAGGTCAAACAGACCCACAGGAAAGAGGCGGCCACAGGCAGGGAACCAGGCTCTGACGGCTCCTTGGTGCTTTATCTCCCCATCAGCAGACTGGGAGAACCCCAAAGGCAACGGGAAAATAATTTCGTGTCAGGTGCTCACGCCCTACCTTAGCTGGCCTGCAAAATACTGAACACCCTGCTCTCGTGCTTGTTCTCTGTGCTCCCTGCTGATTTCAGCATGTGTTTCCCAACGTGGCAAGAGGCAGTCAGCTGAATTAATGCGAGTGTTGTGCTGAGTAACCGACAATGTTATGAATTAACCTCAGGTTCTCGTTAACCTCTGCAGCCCGTTGCGCGGCTCTTTGGACACGCACGGAACTATAAAAACGCTAATGGGAGATGAATCAGAGCTGCCTCCCGAACAAAGGAATGCCCTGTCTGAAGCAGGCAGCCCGGGATGAGGTCGAGAAATGGTAAAATTACCAAAATACCTGCGTGCATTAACACGGTCATTAAATTATAGCGGTGGGTATGGAGATTTTGTTACTGGAGTCGGACAAACCCAACCCTGCAAGGGGAAGGGTGGCAGCGGTTTTTGGCAGGGGGAATGGGTGGATTTAGGGAAGTGGAAGAACTCTCCTCCTGTAAGGGGAAAATGGGTGATAAACGTGTATGGAAAGATCTCAGGAGCCACCTGGGTGATGTGGGCAGGGAGGGAGCCACGGCACAGACAGAAGCACCTGCGGGGAGAGGCTACGAGCTTCATGCCCCCACAAGCAGTGCAAAACCCTCTTGCTCCCTACATTACAAACACACTTAGAAAAGGCAGAACAACCTGAACTTTCAAGCCAGGCCAGGGCTCGCTTCCACCCGCAGCAGAAACCTGCGAGCAGAGCCCATCCCCGCGGGGCACGGCTGCGGCACGGTGCTGCCCGCGTGCGCCGGGCGCGCTGCTTGGCACCGAGCTCTGCGAGTGACATTTTCCTTCTCCCGTGAAAGCTGTTGTTTTGGGCGTCTTGCCCACGCTCTGGGCTTCCCGAAATGTCAGCCCTGAGCTCCAGCAAAGGGAGGGAAGGGAATGACAGGGAACACACAGCGGGCATGGTGGGGCAGCGCTGGAGAGCCCGCAAGCATCCCGGGCACCGTGCCCAAGGAGCGAGGTGGGTGTCCTCTCCAGCACCCCGAGGAGAAGGATTTCCCTACTGTGCCATGGTTCTCCTAAAGCCAAACCTGATTCTGTTCTCCCTCCATGAAGGCGGTGGGACCCCCGACAAGGGAAAAAACACTTCTTGCTCCTTAGAGAAGGTCTCTGAGCCCATTAGGGATCTTCAGCAGTGCAATGAGACCAAGGGAAGATCTGACAAATAAGTTGTCTTCCCCATCACCATAAAAGAAATTCCTTCTCACACCAGTCAAGCCAAGACAGCCCAGCATCCACGAGCCCTGCTCCATTAGCGCTGTGTAATTAATTAACCCTGAGCAGAACGAGCCCAGGAAAGCCAAACGGCAATTACACATCTCGCTGGAGTTTGGACTCTTTCTAAAGGGCTCACATTAATCCCCACCAGCCAGCCTGGGCTCCTGCAGCTCTAATTGATTTTTTTTTCCCCTCCTCGGGCAGCATGTTTAGCATAAGTGATGTTTAGCACGGGGAAAGACGAGTGCCCAGCACCTGTCCCCAGCCTGGTGTCACCCGGAGCACTTTGGCTTCCCATACCCTTGCCACCCAGCAAGCACCACTTACACCTCTCCGACTGAAACCCCACCGGCTCTGGGAGCAACCACGCTTTGTCACAACCACAAGTCAAGAATTGTTATTACAACAAAGCTCACTCATCCTGATAAAATCCAGATGCTCGCTGAAAACCACAGTGGCCACAAAAATACCCAGGACATCGCCTCCTGCCAAGTCCAGAGCTCCTGAATGGTCCAAGGATTTCCAAAAAATAAACCCCAAATCCACTTGGTTCAAACAAACTGGTCTTCAAAAGCAGAAAAACGCATTTGACACCCATCAGTATGTGATGAAAAGAAATGATCCATTATCTCTAATTGCACAGAAGGGAACAACACAGCTGAATAAACCCAACTCATCAGCCTACACCCAGAGAAGAGGCCTCCACCTCCACAAGCAACTTCTGGCACACTGGTGGATCGAAAAATAAAATAAAACCCAATTTACTCACCACAGCACAGCTCCTTCCTTCTTCTTGCCATGCAGCTGAAGCCGCCTGCACCCAGCTGGCACCCATGGGTGCTGATGGGCCCCCCACCCACTGCTGCTCCCCAGCACATTGCTCCTGGGGACGCACATGGGCAGCACCTGCGGGGTCTCTGCTCGGGGGCAGAGGTGGGATGCTGGTGCTGTGGCAAACCAAATGCGTATTAATGGGAAAGGGGGGAAAAAAAAGAGGAGAAAGAGTGGGTTTTGCTCTATCAGCCCTCATGAGCTGCTTGTGGCAGCTGAGCGTGGGGTCTGAGGCAAAGGGCGTGTCCATACCGACCCTGCACACCAGGACGAGGCAGCCAGGACTGTTTTCCCTTCTGGCTGTCTCCAGAAAGGAGAAGAAACCCCACACCACACCAAAACACCCCACAAGACCCTACTGCAGCTCTTTGTGCCCTTCCTGCCCATGCCCCCCACACCCGCACCCACCTTGTGGCCATCTCCAAAAGGCCCCTGTGGGGCAAAGCAGCCCCAAGGCAGTGCCTCCCGTCCCCTTTTGGTGGCTCTCCTCAGCACACCGTGTTGACAGTCGTCCCGTTGGAGCCCCCCGAAGCCCCCCTGCCATTTTCAGCCCCATCCTTGATGGTTTTCTCCGAGGCTGAGGCAGGTTTGTGTCTCTCGTGCCTGGTGATCGCCGTTTCGAGGCCCCTGAGGCACAGCTGCACGTCCTCCCGAAACGAGGGGGTGTACAGCCCGTAAATCACCGGGTCGGTGCACGTGTGCAGCAAGCCGAAGAGAAAGAAGCTGTGGTTGATGTACTCGGGCGTCCTGTGGATCATGGCAGGCTGGAACCAGTACCACAAGCCCAGCAGGTAGTACGGGGTCCAGCAGATGACGAAGGTGGCGACGATCACAACCGTCATCTTGAGGGTCTTCATGCGCGCCTTGGAGATGGGGTCGTTTTGATTTCTTACCAGACCTGGTGACAGAGGCATAAAATCATGGAATCGTTAAGGCTGGAAGAGACCTCCAAGATCATCTGGTCCACCCTACCACCGATGTCACCACTAAACCATGTCCCCAAGCACCAGGCCCAACCTCTCCTTGAACACCCCCAGGGACGGTGACTCCACCACCTCCCTGGACAACCCCTCCCAACGCCTGACAGCTCTTTCTGAGCAGAAACGTCTCCTCATTTCCAACCTGAACCTCCCCTGGCGCAACTTGAGGCCATTCCCTCTGGTCCTATCACCGGTTGGACCCCAAGGGGCTGGGGCCTGCTTACCTTTGTTGACCTTGAGCTGCTTACTGATCTCCCAGATGATTCGGGTGTAGCAAACGATCATGATGCTCAGGGGGGTGATGTAGAGGGTGGTGAAGGTGAACATGTTGTAGAGGGTTTCCTCCCACTGCGCTCGGAAGCTGCCGTGGGTAACGCACTGGGTGAAGTTCCCTCCCGGGACCGTGTGCAGGTGGAAGAGGAAAAGCTGAAATCGAGAACCAAATAAGAAGGCGGGGAGGTTTTGGGGCAGAGCACCGCATCCAGGCAGTGCTCCTGGCTGTGCACGGCGAGCACCTCCCTGCTGCTGTCGGACCCTTGGAGATGCTCTGGGCACCCGGCTCTTGGGCTTGGCCTTGACTGGTGGGATCTGGGGTCTGTGAGATCCCATTTCTATCTCATCATTTCAGCAGCAGAGGGGGGATTTACCCTCAGGTGCCCTCCTCTCTGCTTTCTGCTGTACCACACTCTACTTTGGGCAGTAACTGCTCAGGTTTGAGGTTTGTCTTGGCTCAGTCCAACATGTTTTGCAGTGGAGCAGGGATGCATTTTGGGGAGCTGAGAGCCGCATGGATAAGAAATAAAAATATAATAATGGAAAATTGAATATTCCCTAGGATTAATTCAGTACCCTAATGGGGTTACAATGACCTGCTGCTATAAGCAAGGTGCAGAACCAACGCAGCGACTGCAGACCAATTTGCTCACCAAAGCCAAGCTGGCGGAGGCGAAACCCACAGACTGGGACAAACTTGTTGGTGAAGCCCCTCTCCAAAACCAAACCCCACAGGGCAAGCGCCCAGCCCTACCTGCGGAGCAGCCAGGAGCACGCTGCCCGCCCAGGCAGCTCGCAGCAGCAGCCCGTTGCGGCGCCGGGCACGGGCGAAGGGTCGGAGGACGGCGGCGTGCCGGTCCAGGCTGATGACCACCAGCACCAGGGCGGCTGCGTACATGGCGAAGAGCTTGAGGAAGTTGAGGAGCTTGCAGGAGAGCTCACCGCCGTACCACTGCACCGTCACGTTCCACACGGCGTCCAGGGGCATCACCGCCACCGTCACCAGCAGGTCGGCCAGCGCCAGGCTGAGGATGAGCGGCCGCACGTGGGATTTCCTCCGCTTCCTCAGCAGGCTGCCCAGCACCACCGCGTTGCTGCACGCCGCCAGCAAGAAGAAGACGGCCGTGATGGCCACGCGCACCCTGGCCGCCTGCGTGAACCGGGGCTCGACCCAGTGCTGGGGGCAGCGAGCGGCCGAGGCGTTGAGGTCCCCGTCCGCGGGGAGGTGGCGGGGAGGCACACGGGGCTGGCTCATGCCCTGCCGAAACGCTGCTGGCCAAGGGACCCCCTGGTTGGGGGTGAGGAATGCGGCGTGTCTTCAAGGAAAGCAGCTGGGAACTGGGGAGGAATGGGGAGAAGGTGGGACGTGAAGGGCTGGAAGCAAGGCGGAGGTGCCAGCAGCACCCCCAGGCTCTCCGCTCCCTGCCTGCGCCGCGCTGCCCGTGTTGGCGATGCTGCCCGTGTGCCCTCTCCGGCTCCCACTGTAGCTATAGCAATCCCCTGCCCAGATGTATTTTTAGCTCTTTGTGAGGCTGTTGAGCAGCTGTGGAGCGGTGGCTGGGGCCATGGGACCAGCGCCTGGTTGGGCATGTCTTTCTTTGCAAGCAGACCACATCTTTTTTAAAAACCGACGATTTTCATTAGCAGGTGAAAGCTTGATGGTCTGCCTCCATCTCCTGCACTGGACCCCACACCTAGGGGTGGCCAGGAGGGGACAAAGGGCATCCCGTGCTGTCCAGGCACTGGCAGAGGCTCTCAGGAGAGGCTCGTGGTGGTATTTAGGAGCCAGGACCTTCCCCAGACCCAAGCAGCACCCTGTGGGGTGCAGGCAGAGCCCCACAGTGGGTGCCCCTCAGCCTGCTCTTGCCCCTGTCCCGCAGGGATTTGTCTTCTGGAGGAGAAGCAGGAGGTGAAGGCAGAAACGTGGGCACATTTTGGGGTGGCTATGGGGTGATGAGCACCACGATGGTCCCCAGGGTTTGGTTTAATCGCCCCTTTATTCCTGAGCACAACCAGCTTGGGGACAGCCCGCATTTCAAGGGCAAATCCTCCCAACTCTTACGCACTCGAACATTAACGCTCCCACCTGCCAGGAGCTCTCTTAGCATTTTGAGCACCTTCTGGCTTGCCAAAATTATCACGTTCCCTGCCTTTGCACAAATAAAACGAGCCGCAGAGACGAAAACTGCCCCCGAGCTCTGCGGGATGGAGACGCCGATGCCTTGCAGCCAGCTGCCCTCCTCCAGCCCCATTGCCGCATCCATCCCCTCCCTCCCCAAAAAGCAAGCAGAAAAAGCAGTAAAAAGTGCTGATCTGCTGGCTGGCTGGGAGAAACCTACGCTGGGATTTGTCCCAGTGGACAGGAACCTACCTGGCACAGACATGCCCCGAAGCGAAGCGAAATGCCCCTTGCCTCTCCAGTGGCCGTGGCTGCTCGTCAGGCTGCTCCAGCACCGAGCATCAGCACATCCGAGCGGCACTGCCCTGCGGCGAGCTCTTCCAAAGCAGCAAAAACCTTTAAAAACCAGCAGCTACGCTCTTTTTAGCACAGGCGTATGCAGGCGCTGGCATCTGGAGCAGGCAACACCGACACAAACACCCCCTGCGCCGGCAACGTGCAGCAAACCCCGAGCATGGCGAGCAGAGGTGGGCACCTCTGCCCCTGTGGGCTTAACGAGCTGCCCGCTTTGGGCTTTAATGAGCAGGCAGCGGGGAGAGGATGGAGCTGCTGGGTTGTGAGAAATGGGCAGCGCTCAGGTTGGTGCCTCTGGTGGGGTGGCCAAGCGTGGCCCCGTCAGGGAGAAGTGCCAACGCTCGCCGCGTCGGTTTGCTATAAATACAGGAAAATGAGTTAATTATCTCTGGGGTTGGTGAGGAACGTCCTGTTGCTCAGACAACGGAGAGGCTCGCAGCACACACACAGGCACGCACACACCCCTGGTGATGCTCCGGGACCAGCCGGCTCCCCGTGAGCCCCAGTGATGAGCACAGCTATGTGCCCGGGCTGGAAATGCCATAAGGAGGGGATTAAACCCGCAGAAGAACTTAGGTCATTTTGCCTCTTTAATAAATCGACTCTTTTCTCTCAATTTTCTCAGTTCCCATCTGGTTTTTCTTGCGTTTATTTCAGCGTAACGCCGTGGAAGCGACACGAAGCCCTGGGATGGACACGGAGCTTGCAGGGGCTTAAAAGGCACCACGAGGCTGGGGATGGGGAACGGGGCACGCTGCTTCTCTGGCCAGCAAAAGGGGAGAAAAGAAAAGCAAAAGACTTGGGGGATAACTGGTAATAGTTTGGCGATGAGAAGCGATTAAAAAGGGGAGCTCCTGGGGACCACTGGGATCCTGCTCTGCATGGGCCAGGCGCTGCTGAGCCTCCCCTGCTTGCTGGCCCTCTCCTGGGCACAGGAAAAAAAAAATGAGTTGTTTGGTTTTTTTGTTTGTTTTGTTTTGTTTCCTCTATGTGGTTAGATGTCGGATTGCACAGCACAGAGGCAGGTGGCTTTGGGTGAAGGCAGCGTGAGGCAGAGCCCTGAGACCCAGGGGATGCGCAGCCACCGGAGCACCCAAGGGACCACCAGACACCGCACCCCTCTGAGCCCCCCCATCAGCTCTGCACCCAAGGGAATTGAGAAAACCAGACCCAGCCCAGCTCTCCCAGCCTTCCTCCCCAAGTGCCAGCTCGGGAGGTTGTCCCCAGGGACCCCAAGAGCCACCATGGGCAGAGCAGGAGGGGACAATCCCCATCACCGCGGGGCAGTGCTCCTGGGGGGGAAAAAAGCACAGAAACCGCACAGAAATCGGGTGGGAGCCCATTTATTGCAGCAGCCCCCTCGTGTTCTCCTCCTGGCTGGAGCAGGGAGGAATCCAGCCCCCCGTCCTCGTGCTGCCTTTCCCTTTCTTTGAGCTCCTTGCACCTGCACTGAGGCGAGCCAGGAGCGCGCTCCCTGTTTGTCCTCCTTCCCAGCTGGCTGCCTCCTTGTCTGGAAATGTCCTGCCTGTCCCCCACTGGATGATGCAAGAGAGGGACAGGATTTTTCCTGGGAAATGTAAGCCTTGCTCCTGCCACAATAAAGCCCTTGGTCCCTGTTCAGAGAGGATTTTTGTAGCATGCCATCATGCAGAAATGTCCTGGGAATGCATTACTAATAAGTCTTATTTTAAGGGTGTGGCCCCTTGTTAAAAATGACTATTTTTCTCCCGTGTTTGCACAGTAAACCTCTTGTGTTTTCTCTTTTTTTGTGTTGTTGTTGTTGCCTGTCTCCTCAAAGGTCAGCTTGGATGCTGTCTGCTCAGCACTGGTTTAGCCATCACATTGTCGGTCTGCGGGATTAGGAAACGGCGCTGGCAGGCAGGGCTGGTTTCCGTGCCCCTGGCCCCTGCTCTTCCCAAATCCTCCTGGGGCTGGGACGCTGCCCTGGGGCCTCCCAGGAGCTGCAGGGGGTTACCTTTGAAAAAAGAAAAGTATGTGAGGTGAATTTCACATCGGACATCCCGTACAAATAGGGAACGCAGCACGGGATGCCACCCCCGAGCTGCTGACCCGGCACAAACATGGGGCGTGTGGCTGCTTATCCCCAAAAATCACAGCCAGGGCCTTGGCTTTGCGCTAGCAGGAACAACCTGCCTGTCCGCCCCCAGGAGCAACTCCGGCTGTTTGGCCTCTGGCCTTACAAAAGAACAAGGACCGGGTTTTTTTGCCTGGAGGAGGAGGGATGTGGTGAGCGGAGCCAGCCCGCGGTGGCACCCAGCGCCTGTACCCACGTCCCCAGACCCCTTACAGGTGCTTCTGAAGGGCTGGGTGTCCAAAAATCCCTGCTTGCTCTGAAAATGTCCCCTTTTCAGACTCCTCAGATACAGACATTTTTCCCCTAATTCTCCTTTTCCTCCTCCAAGCCTCGAATTGTCTCTGGAGCAGCTCGTCCAAGGAAATGTTTGTCTCATACTGGACCCGAAACAGAAAGTCTAGTCAGGGACATCTGACATGCAGTGTTTTTGTGAGTAAATACCAGTGTCCATGAAGTCATTTCCCGGGGTTAGCGATGAGCTCAGCCCTGGAACGGCTTCTGTTCTTACCCAAAGTTCACAAGGCAAGCAGACGGCCGCGCAGCTCCCCGTTTTCATCCCGCTCATTAAAAACACATCTGGGCTGCAGCGCGGAGCCAGGGCTGGGGACGGGTCCTGTGCACCAGCTGTGGCAGGGCATCACCCTCATTTTCGGATAAATATTCACTGCAGAAAGCAAGGGGGGAGCTTTCTGTGTGTGTGTGCCTGTCCTCATTGAGCCTGGAGGGAAATTGCATCCCCCGTGCAATAACCCAGGAGGGCTCCCTTTCACCCACCGGGTTCCCTCGGGTGTTTCCTTGCGAAATAATGCCCCGTTTCTGGATTCAGCCTCAGGGTTTGCAGCACTCAGACCCTTCTCCAGGTGTGTTTTGCCCCCGGAGCTGAGAAAAACATGCCTTGGATGCTCAGCCCCACGGCAATTCTCAGGTTTGATAACCCGGTGGTCCTGGTGCCACTGAGCCCAGCAAGTCGTGGCAGGGACCCCAGGCACGTACCCAGCTTGGATGGTTAATGGACCCCATGGAAAGGTGAGATCCCATGCTGAGAGTGCCCTTTCCAAATGCTTGCCCAGATTTCCATCGCCCTGCCTGCAGCAGCAGCTCCTGGGGGTTTTCACCAGCACATCGCCACCGGGGCGCAATGCCCTGCGCCCACCCGCACCACCAAGCCCCAACACCACCCGTTCACGAGGCAGAGCCCAGCTCTGTGCCGCGGCTCTCTGCCTTCAGGAAACCTCTTCATCATGTGGGAAGACAATAGGATGGAGTCTGTGACTTCAGGCCACTCATTTCTCTCTCCCTCCCCAAGCATCCCGGAAGGATGGAAGGAAAGGCTAGCAGGCTAAAAAGGAGGATGCTCTCTTCTCTCACACATCCTTCCCCATCCCTAAAGTGGGCAAGAGGGATGAATTTACCTCCTGAGGCCAAACCCCGATGCTCAGCTCCAGCAGCAGCAGGGATTTGGTGCCACGGGTCCCCCTCGGTGCCACAGCGCCACCGGCACCGACCCGGCCAGGCCCTCGCTGCCCAACCTGGGTATTTTTCCTAGGGTGGAACAAGTTATGAAATCCAAATGTTTTCATTGTGACTAACCCACGGAAGCGAACAAGTTTGCCCTTGTTTTTGGATGGGTTTTTAGTTGCTGTCCTTGTCGTTGCCTTTTGTGCCCGCTTTCATCCTCTCTATTTTTACGCCTCGCTTCCGTCACCTCCCGGCTTTCTCCCCGCACATCGCCCTGCTCTGCTCACCAAACACCCTCCTCTCTCCCATGTTCCCAAGCGTCTTTGGACCCAAATCTGATTTTTCTTACGGGAAAAGCTGTAACCACAGCTCCGCGTGCCCCGAGGAGCGAGGGCAGGATGGAGCCGAGCCACAGCGCTCCCCACTGCCTCCTCCAGCCCTGCTGGGAAGGACCCAGGGCCCCTCACTGCTTTTTTAGGGTTCACCACCTGCAAACCCATTCCCGACGGGCACTGGGGGTTGTCCAGGTGTTGACCTGCTCCATCCCAAGCACCTCTCACATAGGTGCAGGGAAAAGCTGAGAGCCCCATGGGAGGGAGGAGCAGGGGCAGCCTCCCCCAGCATCTTTTTCCCCTGTGTTTTACTCAGACCTTTGCCTCTCCAAGAAGCATCTGGGGTTTAAAATGTCCTTGGGTGAGCTTCGTGCAAGGATATCGATGCTTTTGGGAAAAGATGAGGCTGCAGGATGTTTGGTGGCTCCAGTTGCCCTGTGATTACATGGGAAGGAGAAGATGCTCTCAGGAAAGTCAGGTGTTTCTGCACCCTCACTTGCTGGCAAACTCTTCCAAAGCTGGAACGTGGACACTTGGTCCCCTGCAAGCCAGCAGCAGCCTCATTTGTCCCAGCTCAGCTCCACGCAGCTTGGTGCAATGATTAATCTGAAATAAAAATCACCAAAAAAGAAGAACACAAAATCTTGCTATTTCAGCAACACTTGCAAATAATTGCATATAATGAGATCAAATAAACAAAAAAAATGTTGTCATGAAAACAGGAGCATTTTTTACAGCACCTCACAAATAGAGTGAAGATCCACCCCAAAAGGGCACGCTTGCTGCCAGTCCCGAGCAGAGCCTCACCTGCACGTCACTGAGCAGCTTTTAGCTCCATGCTCAAGTTGGGGAAAAACCAGGTGGTGCTTTACCAGCTTAAGTCAGCTGCAGCCCTGCCCGCCTTGACCTGATTGGGAAAACAGAAAAAAATCAGAAAATCAGCAAAACCTGGAGCAGGAAAAGGCACAAGCGAGGGCAGGTCAGAGGCAGCCACCGTGCCGTGCCACCGGCGTGCGTACACAGCCTGGCTCCCAGCGCATCCGAGCCCGCAGCTAATGCCTGAAAATAAGAGCAATAAATTACAGATGTCTTCAGCAGCAATTAATTAATTGCCCGAGCCAACATGTGCTTCCACACAGGATGCCTTTGTCCAGCAGGCAGCTAAACCAAACACCCGGAGGGCTGCGGGCTGGAGCTCTGCCCCTGCTCTTCCTCCGCGGTTTAAATGCCCCCATTCAGGCGCTGCCCTGCCTCGGACCTCGCCGCGCTCCCGTTGTGTTTGCAATCACCCAGTGTTTGCAAGAATTTCACCAACCTGGCGTTGGGCAATAATTCATGCCCTGCTGCTCACCTGCAGCGGGGTGGGGTGGGCAAAATTTGGCGTGGTGGTGGCAGGTGGCACCCCCTGGGAGTCACCGCTCCAGGGGTGGCACGGGAGCTGTGGTGCTCAGAGGGCCTGGAAGGGCTTGGCCATGCCTAAACGAGCTGTGATTCTTGATTTAATTTCCCCAGATCAGCCATGTAATTAAAAAGGGATTCACTACGGAGGCATTCCTGGTGCTGTCAGAGACCAGCTAGTGACCAGCCAGGCCGGGATGCGCACAGCAGGGATTGCTGCTCCATCCCCAAAGAGGTGCAGAAGCGCCACCAAAGCCCTTCTGCTGGTCACAAAGCAGCTGGCACCCCTGTTTTCCAGCCCGGGGGGCCCAGTCCTGTTGTGCCATCAGGTCTCTGAAGCATCTGGGCTATCCCTCGTGTGTCTGCTCCGTAAATGCTGCAGGTGGAGGCGAGCTCCAAGGGGCCGGGGGCGAGGGTTTAGCCTCTGAGCAAGTCCTTCCAGGGGGGAGGAACGCCGCCTCGCTCCTTTTGTCCCAGCCACAGCCCATAAATTCTCATCCGTGCAATAAAAACAAACTACAGTAGTTCATTTTTTGGGCCCTTTCCCAAAGCTTTTAGGCAGCTGGGGTTTGCTTTTGTGCTGACGAAGCGGTGGAGGAGGGCTTAAGCGGAACAATATCGCGGCGGCCGCGGGCGCGCTGGTGCTTCAAACCTCAGGGCGAGCCCCGGGGACCCACGGCATCTCCACGTCTCCATCCAAACCCTGGAAGCGGCCGCTCCAAGTCCCGGGATGTCAAAAACAGGGCTTAAAAACAACAGCTGGGCACCGGCCACCCCTGGAGCATGGCTGGGGAAGCGCTGGGAGCCAAGCGCTTGGCGAAACCCCGGCTCCCAGCTCGCCCCCCTGCAACACGCAGCCTGCCCCAGCGCGCCCGGGACGGAACAAAGTCATCAATCAGTTCTTGGAGCTCCCACCTCCGTAAACAGGAGCGAGCCCAGGAACACAGAGCAGGGGAAAAAAAGCGTCAGCTCCCTTCGGTGCGGCACAGAGGGCGCGGGCGGGGAGGAGCGGGGCTGCCGGTTCCACCACGGCCCCATGGACCCCGCAGGGTGCAAATCCCATAGGAGCCCTGAGCACGGTGATTTTGGTGATGGTCGCCGTGCTGGTGTTGTATCGAAAGGGCAGGAGGCACAAGTAGCCAGGGCGAGCATCGCTGCCCTGTTTTTCCCTGTTTTGTTTTTTAAGAGGGGCCGGAGGGGAGCGATGGAGGCATCCAGCGAAGGAGGTTGGAGAGGGAGGAGGTGAGAGCTTGGCACCGGTTTGGGGGGAAGCATTCGGCACAGCCGTGTTCACATAAATGCACTATTGTCTTCTAATTACACCTCGGTGAGCCGGTCATGGAAAAAAACAGAGCCAGCAGAGCCTCCCCGGGGCTCCTCCATAGCAGGGGAGCAGGAGGGGAACGCGGCTTCTCCAGACCTTGGCTTCACGCAGGAAAACGTCAGTGATGGAAGGGAAGACACGAGCTGTCTGGTCTTGCTGCATCCTTCCCTGCCGGCCATGGGGCACGGCAGCGTCCTGCTGACCCCTCCGAGCATCTCCCGGCTGTGGTCGGAGCTGGAAGCAGGTTGAGGAGCCGCTGGGGCTGGCAGCGTGGCCGCAGAGAGGATGCTGAGACTTGGCACTGCCAGGCTTTCTGGAGGCGTGGGTTTTGTGGGTTTTGTGCAAACCAAACCCAGATGCAGACACGGCTGGGAGCAGAAGCCAGGGCTGCCAGCAGCCAAGCCCAGGGAGACCCACTGCCTGCCACAGTGCAATGCTGTTAAATCTGGTGCTAATTGATCAAATTCCTCTTCTCTGCCGCAGAACCAGGTGGGGCCGGGCTGCAGCACCTCTCCTCACAGCACCCCAGCACATTTTGGCACGGCACAGCCAGGGGAGGATGCTTGAGCGTGGCTGAGCTCCGCGTTTGTATCTCAGAGCCTCCGGCTCGCTGGGCATCCCTCACCCAGCGGAGAAACCTCCTGACACTTTGGCACATCCCAGTTGTTTGCTACTTCTCCCTCGTCAACAGAAACAGGAGTCGGCGCCGGGCACCTCCGATTATTTGTTATGTGACCCCGTGATCGATGGCCCTCCTGCACCGCTCCCTCTGGCAGCGGGGCCAGGAAGCATTACTAAGCGGGCAGCCTGTCCCATCACGTCCCATCCCATCCCATCCCATCCCATCCCATCCCATCCCATCCCTTCCCTTTCCATCCCATCCCACACCCCACTGCCCGTCCCCATCCCCAGCACAACACGGTGCGTGCGATGCCACGGGGCAGGCGTGTCCCTGCACAGCTCCACGCTTCATTTCCAGAGTTATATGGGGAAAAAATGTGGTTGCCCTGCTCTGGGGGGCTCTCCTTAGGGTCTTTGCTAGCTCTGCCCATGGTTCAAGCGAGATGTGGTTGGATTTATTCACAGGGAGGGTCCCGGGAAGGTTGTCACCCCTCCCCTGCAGCTCGGGGCTACCCCAAGGTGTCTGAAACATGCATCCTTCCATGTCCCCAAAACCCCCAAACCCCACAGCATCCTCACCTGGTCCCGGCCAGATCCAGCACAGGGGGGAGAGGACAGCAAGAGGGACAGCTCTGCCCCAAACCCACTGAGTGTGGGGAGCCCCCAGGCACCGGGGGGGCACCGCCTTGCCCCAGACCAGACGAGACCCCCAAAATATCCTCACCGCAGTGAGACACAGGCAGGACCCCGTGAGATATCCACCTGTGAGATATCCCTGCACGGAATTACCACCAGCATCCCATTTGTGTCCAGACCCAGTACAAGCCCCAAAGCCCAGATTAACGACAGCGCCAGCGCTGTCACCCACGGGACCACCCCAGGACACGGCACGGAGCCCCCACATCCCCACGCCGAGCCACAGCTACGCTCCTGCAGCGGGGCAGGGCTCCGTTCCCCCAAGCTCTGCGTTCACCATCACCTTGCCGGGGGCTGTCCAGGCTGCAGCTTCCCCTCTCGTCCGATCTGCTTTTGCTCGGCGGCCCGTGGCGCGGTGCCACCTCCGGAGCCGCACGCCGCACTATATAAACCACCTCGGCGCACGGGCTGCGGGGAGGCTCGCGCTTCGCCCGCTGCAGCAGCAGCACCGAGCCCCAGGGAAGCTCCTGCTCTCCTCCTGCTCCTGCTTTCCTCCTCCTCCTCCTCTGCAAATTCCTTCTTCCCGCAGCTGCTCCGAGCCCTCGCTCCCCCGGACCTCAGCGTGGCTGGCGGCGAGAGGACGGGACGTTCCTTCCTTGAGTACTTTTATGGTTTTTTGTAGGTAAGAGCGAAAAAGGAGAAAAAAAAATCCTGCTAAGTTTTGTTGTTTTTTTTTTTTTTTTTCCTCCTCTCTCGGTAGCAGGCATTATATAACTCTGCTGGGTAATTAAGGCGTAATTACAAGTGGCTGTGGAGGTGGGAATTCCTCGCTGGGGGAAGCCTGAGGGTGGCTGATGATGGCTGGGTCTATGCGAGGCGTGCTCGGCGGCATCGCGGGGCTCCCATTCATCCCAGTGCGACCTCCTGCTCGCTTACTGGGCTTGGCACAGGGCTCCAGGACGAAGGCTCTCTGCTCCCACGGGGCTGCACTGCCTTGGGCTTGAGCCCACCTGCCCCGGGGGGAGGACGTGTCCCCCGCTCCGGCACGAAGCCCTGCGCCGAAGGAGTCGCGGCCAGCTCCCGAAATAGCCTGCGAGTGGGAATCGGGCTTTCCGCCCGCATTCATTTTTCCTGGTTATTGTCTGGCTGGAAGTTCGTGACCCCGCCGTAAGCCCACAAAATCCCGCTCATGTGTTGCTCGTTATTTGTGCTTGACTGGGAGCCGCTGGGCTGTAAGCAAAGCGTTTCCTATCCCCAGAGCCCCCGCGCTCCGAGAGGTTCGTTCACGCCGCCGGCAAGCAGCAAGGTGCTTTTGCTGCCGCTGACAGCCTCGTTTTATGGGTAAACTGAGGCACTGAGCACTGACAGCAGCTTTTTCCCCCAAATTCATTAATTTTAGGTGTGGAAACAAAGCACCTGTAGCTGCAGCTGGTGTCGGTGTGGATAAGAGCAGCCCCGACGCCGGGTACCTTCCGAAATCAAATGTTAACCGCAGGGCTCCGTGATTTATTAAACGCCAGCTGCAGCAGCCAGGCTGGGGGAGAGAAACACAGAGCCTCAACCCCTCACCTCTGCATGCAAAAATAAAAGAAAAAAGGGAAATATTTGGCATCTGGCTGCAAGGGCTTGGCTTGCGCATGGGGTTTTACGCTCTCAGAGGTGCTCGGGAGCCTTCCCCTCCTTGGACACGCCGCGAGCAGCGGCACAGGGCAGAGCGGGACGCGGGGGCCGAGGGGAAGAATTGTTTCTCTGCAGAAACACTTAGCCTGCGAAATGGCCCGGCAAGGAGATGTCATTAAAAAGCAGAGCTCTGCAGAATAGATTTGGGGAGCAGGGCTGAGATGCGACGGCGAGAAGCAGCGGGACATGGCACAGATGTGCCACCTTTGCCCGGGGAGCAGGAGGATGGGAGCTGTTGGCCGGGGGGGACGGGCTGCCCTTGGAGTAAAATCTTCTGCGATTTCTTCTGGGTGGTGGGTGCCAAATCAGGCCGGGAGGTGGTGGCCCTGCAGGGTGTTTTGCTGGGAGAAGCATCCCAGAAGCAGGTGGCTGGCACCGCAGCGAGCCCTTACCCGGCCGTGCTTCTCCCCGCAGGTCTGGGGAAGGCGCAGGACGGCTGCGGGTACTCCAGGAAGCCCCCGGTCAGCTCCGGACACCACCATGGTCACTGCGAGAGGATGGCTGCTGCTGCTGCTGCTCCTCCTGGGAGCCTCGGCTGGTCTAGGTGAAGGTCACCCCTTGCTAGTCCTGTCCCCGTGCTGTCCCCGGCCAGGGGACACGGGCAATGCCATGGGTGGGCACGGCGAGGGCGGGCACCGCATCCTCCTCTCCAGAGCCATCAGGACCCTGCCCGCTCTGCTCGGGAGGGTTTTGCAGAGAAACGTGCTCGCAGGCTCTTTGGATTTGTTTTCCGAGGCTATACAAGAATTTCGCCCTGAAGTGCTCTGGCCGGATGCCCAGGGGATAAGAACAGGGAGGGTCAGTGCTTAGCGGGGACGTGCCCAAAAAGCCCGTCCTGTGCTGGGCAGCTTTGGGCTCAGCTCCTCGGTTTAAGGCCGAGCTCATCCCCTCAGGTTCGTTTCTCCCCCATGTAGGGAAAGGCAGGATGTGCTTTATGCCTCCAGATATAAAAAGATGATTTGGTCATAGCTGCTCCAACACAAAGGGCAGCGAGCCTGAAATGCGACAGCACCGGGGGAAATCCCAGCAGGAGGGACACGGGGAGGGCTCTGAGCACGGCCAAGCCATGCCCGGCCACTCACATCTAATTAACTTATTATTCATCTGTTTTAATCTCCAATTTGTTAATTTGTTGACCCCTAGGTCAAAGGCTTCTGAGGCAAAACCTCGGCAGGATCCAGATAGGACAGAAAACCTTCAGCCCGCTGGTGATGCTCAGCTTAGAGAGTGAGTTGTGTCCCACCTCGGGTGCCTTTCCCTTGCTGGGAAAAATGATATTTGCGCGTATTTTTGTTTTCCCCAAACCTGAATTTTAAACCAAATCAGTTCATGGGAGTAGGTGGGACATTGAGGCAATGGAATAAATGCTAATCACTCGTGACCTCCTGTCGGGTTTGGGCTCTCGCTGACACACGCCGCTGGCTCCTCTCCTGGAAAGCTGAAGGTCAAGTGCATGACCACAGCCCGGCCCAGGAGGCTGGGGACGGCGCAGCGAGGGCACGGCGCGTTACACCCAGCCCTCCCACCCCACGGCAGGCGTCTGTCCCCCCAGCGGCCCGTCCGTCTGTCCTGCATCCCAGGGTGGGGGCTCGGGGGCTTCCCATTCTCCCATCCCACTCCCTTGGGGCTGAGCCGTGGATGGAGGGGAGATTGGAAGCTCAGAAAATACGGACATGGGCGGCCAGGCAGAGGGTTTGCACCTCTCCCTTCTGCGAGCTGAGAGGGGTTTTTAGGGAAGCTGTCAGGGAAACTGTGGCTTCCCAAATTTCTCCTCCAAATGGATGGTCCCCAGTCGTGCCGCGGCTGGAGCTCGCAGAGCAGGTGTTAAATTGTGCTGCTCTGGGGAGAAATAAAGCAAAACCTTGAGGTTTCGGCCAACGCCAAAGCAGCACCTGCCCTTGGCTGTGAGCAGGGAGCCAGCAGCTCTGTTTTTACCTCTTGGGAGTCGGTGTGCAAGGACTCCCTGGGCTGTCCAGCTGGGCTCAGTGCAGCCACGAGGGTCACAGCGCACGTCCTCTGCCCGCAGGTACGAGGAGCAGCTCTCGCCGGGGAGCCCCGACCTTCGCCTACGCCAGACACAGTACGTCCCAGTTTCATTTTCGAACAATTCAGCCCGTCTGTCTCTCTAGCAAGTAACCTAACCTGGGTTACAACAAAGCTGGAAGAAGTGTAGGTGTGGGAGATGACGTGGTACCCGCACGCGTTTCCAAGAGACCTCATTTTTAGGAACTTCAGTCACATCCTCAGTGCATCCTCGTAAACATTATTAGAACATTGTCATTTAAAAATAAGCCCAAACCACACGCTTGGAGTGGATCTCATCCATTCAGGCAGCTTAGACTAATACCATCTAGCAGCCTTTTAAAGAAACTCCTTTAAACATCTAACCGCAAGCTAAACTTTCCGTAAACCCCTTTGTGTTTTACGAATCAGCTGGTCCCCAAAATGCTCAGCGTGCTCAGGCTTCTGTTTTGCAGCCAGCAAAGCTGGGGCTCTCAACAAGGCACACGCTTCCCCTGTAGAGAACATCTGCTGGAGCAGGCTTAAAGACATTCAATACGAGCATACCAACAATTTTACCCTTTTTTTGTTGTTGTTTTTTTTATTTAACCACATTTGAAATGCAGGCGGGCGCTGCCCCTCGGACAGCATTTAAATGCCAATGTGCGTTTGATTTCCTTTAAGCCAAAGTTATTCAAAACTAAGCATGAGCTGCGTGCACTCTGCACCCCTTGAGTTTATCTTAATCATCCCGAATTCGGCAGCCTGCAGGGAATTAAGTCAGAAGCATTCAGGCGCCTTCTCGTGCTTTATTTCCCAGCTCCCTGACCATGCTTTGAGTTTGTTTAATCCATGTGGTGATATCCAAATACAAGCACATACTCGGAGCTATGTAGAAGCTGTTAAGAAAGCTGCCTCTG